TGTGTGTTTTGGATGAAATGTTGTGACTGTTTGTATTTAAAGATGAATATTTATAAACGGATGAGCTGAGGGGAGACAGGATGACGATCACGTGTTTATCTTCACGCTGTCTCTGTTGCTCTCTTTGCTTCAGGAGAGTCTTCGGAGTTCGGGTCTGGCGAGGACGCTCTGGCACGAATCCGCCGGCTGATCGCTGAAGGCGGCATGACGGCGGTGGTCCAGCGGGAGCAGAGCACCACCATGGCCTCGATGGGCGGCTTTGGGAACAACATCATTGTCAGCCACCGCATCCACCGCGGCTCGCAGACGGGCGCCTCCAGGCCCACTGCCGAGCCCGTCGCCACGGCCCCCTGCACCTCCGGTCCGCTCCTCGTCGCCTCGCAGCCCCAGTCCTACCTGCGCCCAGCGCCGCAGGCCAGCGAACAGCTCGCTCCCGTGTGGGCCCCGCCGCCGCCCACGCTCTCTCTGGCTGTGGACGTGGACGACGTGTTCGACGGCCGTGGGGCGGACGACAGCTCCTTGCCGGGTCCCTCCTCTTCCTCCTCCTCTTCCTCTCACAGCCCCCTCCCTGGCGGTGGCGGCCCCAACAATTACCCCGGTGACCCATACAGCAGGTAGTCCTCCTATTGGCTGACGGTTAAGGGGGCTCCTCAAAGCCTTATCTCACAAAAATGGGTGCTGCTTCGACCCCACACAGGGTCTCCCACCTGGAAACGAAGGGACACAAAGACCTCTCCTCCCCCCTCCCCCTAGCCTTTCTGTTGAGTGGCGTTGGCGCTCGTGAACCCAGACCGAAGCTGGACCGTCATCATTCCTCACAGGAGCCCCTACTTGAACGGAGGCACGGAGCTCCTCCCCACCTGATTCTCTCCCAGCACGATGAAGGTCGAGGTTCCTGACGCGCTGCGCCTGGTGAGGGAGGGGTGGGGGTGTGGCTTCTTTCACATTTACTCCAACGTGCTGCGTTTGGTGCCATGTGACGTTACCTTAGATGTGAAATAGTGATTGAAGTGTTTGAACTCAGCACTACGTTTTTGTACCGTGTCACTGCTGCGTGTGCCTGAGGCAGGACTCTGCACGGCGGCGAGCGACCACCGATGACTGAACGCACACGCTCAACTAAACAAACGGAAGCTCCTGCATGTCTCGAAATAATGCTGCAGCTCATCGAACACATGTTTGTGTTTAAGGCTGGAAACGAGGAGAATCACTTCCTGTTAGGGCAACGAGGAGGCGGAGATTCACCTGCTCTGACCCCTCCCCACCCTGCCAACCCCACCCAGCTGCACTACAGTGTGTTTGGTGCTAACCGAGGTGTGTGTGTGTGTGTGTGTGTGTGTGTGTGTGTGTGTG